CTGCTGCTGCTGCTGCTGCTGCTGCTGCTGCTGGAGTCAGACAACAGGTCTTTTGCAGGTTGTGGCATGTCTCAGCGGTTACAGGAAAAAACATAAAGAAAGTAAACCCTAAACCCTAAACCCTTGCAAACCCTAAACCCTTGCCTTAAACCCTAAACCCTTCTTTTAAACACTAAACCCTTTCTCTAAACCCTAAACAAATTCTCTATACCGTAGCCCCTTGCAAAGCCTAACCCTAAACTAAGGCAGGCCAGTGCTACGTAGGTGATACGGTGGTTTAGGGTTTAGGGTTTTAGGGTTTAGGGTTTTAGGGTTTAGGGTTTTGGCTCAGATGTTTGTTGACATGGCCCAGTTGATTCTCTCTAACGGAATGCTTTGGGAGCTCGACTATCACGAGGTAAACCCTAAACCCTAAACCCTAAACCCTTGCCCTAAACCCTAAACCCTATTCTTGCACCCTAAACCCTATTTTTAAGCCCTGAACCCCCAAACCCTTAACCCTCAGAATAACCTAAACCCTAAACCCTAAACCCTAGCAAACGAAATGCCACCCAGCAGGACGACTTCAGGTTGAAGGTTTAGTGCCCTGGCAGTGCTGTTTAGGGTTTAGGGTTTAGGGTCTGGGGTTTGTGGACAGGAGAGCGGCTCCGAGGAAAGCGAAGAAGAACGATGTGTAATTATGTAAACCCCCCGCAAACACAAACCCTAAACCCTAAACCCTAAACCCTTGTTTTGTAACATCCAAGCCCCAACATTTACACCCTAAGCCCAAAAATTTAAAATTAAGGGTTTCGGGTTGAAAGAAGTTTCTTACCGACCCCCAAACCCTAAACCCAAAACCCCAAACCCTAAACCCTAAACCCTCTTAAGCACAGTGCGTAGAAACACCTTCAGGGCCCCCAGCAGCATCAGCCCGCCCCCAACAGCCAACTCGGGGGCCCCCGAATTCCCTCTGCCTTCGCTCCAAACCCCTAAGCTCCCTCTCCAGGGGCCCCCCTCACATCCGCTGGGGGCCCCCTGGGGGCCCCCAGGAGTCGCTCCCCCGGGGGGCCCCCCTGTACCCTCTGCGGGAACTTGGGGGGCCCCTGTGGTTTCTGGGGGCCCCTGAGGGGCCCCCTTTTGGTTTGGGGGGGCCCCGGGGGCCCCCGTGGTTTCTGAGGGCCCCTCGGGGGCCCCCAGGGGCTTTAGGGTTTGTGTGTTGGGGGTTTTGTCTAGGGTTTGGTTGGGGTGTAGAAGGATGAGGGGTTTGAGAGGGTTTATAGAATTGTGTTGTTTTATAAATAACAACAAATCACCTGCGCGTACACCCCAACACAGATCCTCCACTGACACCACACGCACACTGGCTTCTGCTGCTGCTGCTGCTGCTTCTGTTTCCGCTGCTGCTGCTGCTGCTGTTTCTTTTTCTGTTGCTGATGTTTCTGTTGCTGCTGCTGATGCTTCTGTTGCTGCTGCTGCTTCTGTTTCTGCTGCTGCTGCTGCTGCTGCTGCTGCTGCTGAATTTGAGTGTTTCTGCTTCGGAAGCAACAGCTTCAGCTGGCCAGACACGTGACCGTCTGCTTCCTGCTGCTGCTCTTGCTGCTGCTGCTGCTGCTGCTGCTGTTGCTGCTGCTGCTGCTGGTGCTGCTGTATGTCTGTTGGGGTGTATGGACAGGTGTATGTGAGGAGGAGGTGTTTCCTCCCTCCTTTGATTGCACCCAAACCAGAGGCGGGGGGCTCAGACACAATTGCTGCAGACTCTATACGGCCTATGCAGTACTCCGTGCTGCTGCTGCTGCTGCTGCTGCTGCTGCTGCTGTTGCTGCTGGTGTTGTTGCTGCTGGTGTCACTGCTGCTGTTGGTGTCGCTGCTGCTCTTGGCGTCGTTGCTGCTGCTGCTGCCGACAGCTGATACGGCGGCTGCAGCTGCTGCTGCGGCGTACAATAAATCATTGCAGATATCTCTGCTGCTGCTGCTGCTGTCGTTGCTGCTGCTGTTGCTGTTGCTGCTGCTGTTGCTGCTGCTGATGGTCGCTGCCCGGCATTGCTGCATCAGT